TCCGTTGTGGTTCCTCTCCAAAGCCAGTCGTGCCGGTTTGCACTGCAGCACAGTAGCACACTGTCCCCACTGTGCAGCTGCTTTCTCCACACACAGCTGGCACACTTGGCACAGGCTGAGCTCTGCCAGCTGTTATCGCTCCAAATCAGTGACGACTGTGCCCGCTGCACCAGTCACTCTGATCCCCAAAATAAACAGACCTGGCAATCCAGACAGTCTGTCCTGTGACTAGGCCAGGCATACCTGCAGAGAGGCAATACACCGAGTCTCACTAGAGATCTGTTACAGACTGTTACAGACCAGGAGAAAACGCCGTCTCTGAGCTCTATTTCTAACCCACTGCGCTGCTGACTCATCCCGAGAAAAACGCCACAAGTAAAAGTGTTATAAATGAAAACAAAAATGGATTCCCCTGGCACAGCGATGCTGAAATTGAAAGGTTTCATTAAGCCTAACCTCTACAGCTGATGCAGGCTGAATTTCCTCTAGGTCATAATATAATGCTTGAGTAGTGTTAGGGGAGTCCCTTGGTCTGATTCCTATGTTGCCGTGCCAACAGCGATGTATCCACCTCGGTCAGGATGCGCTGAGCTCATCTCCTGTCTGAGGGTGTCCAAAAGCTCAGGTCATACATCACATGCGGCCCCGCGGGCAGTGTAGAGTTGGCACACAGCACTTCACTGGTGCAAAACTCCGTAAATAAAGAGCTTGCAAATAAAGCCGGGCTTACAAAACTGCTCGTTTCTGGATGGCTGTAGTATAGCTTTACAGCAGTTTGACTCGAGCACTCTGTTGGGGAAATTCTCTTAAACCTTTTACTATCCCACCTTTTACCAGCAGTGTAATGGATACTGCGTCAGATGAACTTTAACCAAAAAGGCCCTTGGAGATGAGCTGAGCTTCAGGATGTCTCAGGCTTCGGAGTTCAACTCTGGCGGGCAGATGTTGAGGCCATGCAGAAATTCCACACAGAATGACCCTGCATCTTAAAATAACCTGCCCTACTGCCCCTGCACCACCCCCCTTCCCATTCAGATAATCTTCAGGCACAGAACCCACAGGAGACGGAAAGCTCCTATTACTGTGAAATAGCAGTTTCCCCACAAAGGCCTGATGCAAACACACAAAGCACTTGCGTGAGACCGAAAGCAAAGACATGCTTTTAATTACGAGGGACACAATAAAACCAAGTGGAGAGAAAGCATCTGCGGATCCCAGCTCTTAAGCATTAATCCCCAGTGGTGTTTGTGGGCCTGAGTTCTGTGACTGGGGCGGACAAACACTGCTGCATGTCTCGTACACCTCTGTCTCCCACACCGCCTCAGCGCCAGAACAGAAACGGCACGGCCAACTGGTCAACAACCTCGTACAGACAGAAAGCCAGATCTGGTGGAGGGGTGGGGAGAAACTCACAAAGCAGTCAAACTCCGTCACTGCCTCAGAGGAAGACTGGACTAAGAAAGGAAAAGTGATTGAAACGGCCCAAAGCGTTTACAGCGCAAAGATGAACAATCATCGGCTGTAAGTTATAAACTGCAGCGGTTTCTAAAACCAAAACCCATGCGCACGGAATCCGATTGATACGATTAACAATCTCCTCAGCTGAGCCCTGTGAAAAAAAGAGGCCAGAATCCGTAACCGTGTAAACAGAGACTTTTTCCCCCAGTTGGAAATCACACGGGAATGCTCACTCTTTTCATGGCGAGAGCTTTCTAGGGTGCTGTAATGCTTCACCCCAGGCTACCAACCACATTTTCCAAAAGGGTGCCGCCAGGAAACGCAAAATCCAACACCAGCCTGAAGAAAAGAAAACGTGGCCCCGCTTCTGCGCACTGAACAAACGGGTCGTGACCATTTCCCTTCTCCGCGCACAGCAGGCTGACGGACTCACTCCACGGAGGCCGGCTTGCGTTTTACACTCGAGCAGTGCTTTCCTCGCCGAGCGAGGAGCTGCGGCAGGCTGCAGTGGGACAAGCAGAGCCTAACTCCACGCTGAAGAGGGAAAACACAATGTCTCTGCTGTCTGTGGGAGTCTCGTACCCCAACAGGGCTCAACAGCCCAAACACTGTTGTCCTCCCCCCCCGGCCATATTGTAGTTGAAGTGTGAAGCTCAGTCAAGTTAGATCGTCCCTACGCTGGTCGCTGTTTAAAAGTTTCTCAGGTCAGAAGCTTCATTGAGAATAAATACTTTCAGCGTGTGCCTGAAAGTATTGTTCGATCCGCCCCGGGGCCCCAGTTCCTCAGCCTGCACTGACAAGGAACACTGTGATGTCAGGATTAACACAGAAAGATTGCCTTTGTACTCAAACATATGCTCCTACAGCGCCTATGTACACAGATCTTTAGCAGCATTCATGCTCAAGTATCTCGTGATTTCATTTGGAGATGTCTCTTTATTAGTCTTTGCATAAAACAGTCTACAAATATGATCCTACGTTGGACACAAAACAATTGCTTTCTTGTGGAGGGTAAACTATTCATTATAACGAGTATTCCCACTAGGCACAACGATGAACGGTAGAAGCTTTCATTTAAATAAAATTCATTAAAGCCTCATTTACTGCCTCATTTAACAATGGGTTTCAAAATGGAGAAATCTCACTTGAGAAATAACTTTGTAACATTGCAAATCTGCACCATGACTTCAGACTAGATTACACACTCCGCTGTAGGAGCAGAAGTGGTGAACTTTTATCAGGTCATACAATTTTCTATCACTCCAGTAAGATTTAACATTCGTTCCCCTTCAAGAAAAAGACAGGAACAAAACTCTGACACCTACAGCTAGCTGCCCAGTTCCCGAAGACAGGGAAATTAAAACTGAAAATATCCCAAAAACTGACAAGCATACCAGTTCCATAGCACACAATTTACCTTTAGTCCCTAAACTGGAACAAATCAATAATTCAATGTTTCTGAAAAAGCAGTTCAGCTCCTGACAATCACATATAATAACCAGCATACAAACAGGGCAATTCTTCTCCTGGGTCACCGGAACACAAACTACCTGCGACTAAATACCGTAGAGCTGTGTGTCGTCTGGAAGATTACCAATAATCTTTTTTTAAGTATCCGTGAACTACCTATTAGTGGATGGATTAGCTCAGTCATTTCTGAACAGGATCAAATCCTCCGGAAGGCTGCAGGGCTGTACTGACACGTCAGCCAACATGGGGGGTGGTCCAGACTTGGGGGAGGAGTGGGAATCTGACAGTGGTCACCCCGCAACCTCGGGAATGACCAAGGACGTCGGATGGAGCTCAACTGCCTCAGCCCCGCCGGCAACCCGAACGGGACGCGACGACACCAAGCACAACGCCGCAAGCCCAGAGCGCACAGGTGCCCGTGAGAGCGCCGGCCCCGCCGAGGCTCCCGACGATTCCCTCTTCCTTCAGTGTTACATACTGGAATGCGGCCTGTTTCACCTACAGAATCCGCCTGCGGTGGACATCCGCCTCCAAGCTCTGACAGGCCCATGGCTTTAACACCCCTTCACAGTTGCCATTATTTTTCACTTGGCAGCCACTCTTACCCACTGCGAGTTGCGTTTGGTTGTTTTACCGGAGCAGGGCGGATCAGGCGTCTCCCCTGGGATTCGAACCCACAACCTTCCAGTTACGAGACCGTCGCCCACTTCCAGACCCGCTCGCTGCGAGCAAGGCCAGGTTCTTTACAAGTCCCCTTGGAGACAAACCTGTCGCTTCCTTTCGCTTCCGAGAATCTCCCTTCTTTAGAATCTTACACCGCGTACTCTTCTGCAGAGCGAAAGAAAATTAAAAAAAAACACTCTTTTGCAGAGTTCATGACTGGAATATCTTGTCCTTTATTCATGCTGTGCAGACAAAACAGGCCGTTACTTCAATCTCTTTGGGAGATAGAGCAGAGTTTACAAGCAGGGTGGTATCAGCTCTGCATTAGTCATTAGTTTCTAAAGAATATGCGTCGGGTGAAGCAAAAAAAAAAAACACAAAACGCCTGCATAGCTGGTTTTCAAATAACACTACTGTCTAGGGAAAACCATTTAAAACCATGCTATTTTTTTTATTAAGTTACCGTTCAGAACTTTTTTACGTGTCCGCAGGGCACGTGTATTTAGCAACGGATTCGGAAACGACCGTGACCGTGTGACCGTTCAAAGAAATGCTCGCTTGGTATCGTTCTCCCACAGAGGACGTGTCAGATACCTGCTATTTCCCAGCACAAATTCCACGGGGGACTCGCCCGTCGGCACGGTCCCCGCTCGTCTTACAAACGCGCCCCCGCGGGTTCAAGCCCCTGAGCTCCGGGATCACGCAGAAGCGAGAGAAGCAAACCCGCACGGCCTCGCCAAGCCTCGCGTTGCAGCGATTAAAAAACAATCATTTCATTACTTTCCAACATGAAATTGATAAAAAAAAAACACGGGGGTGTCATGCTTTACGTGGGAGAGCGAGCCTAAGACAGTAGGGTGGACCGCACGCCTGAACCCACCACGCACCGTGCTCACTAGCTGTTGTCTAATTGGTCCGGCTTTGCATTTCAAACGCCGACACAAGGAGCCAGGCGCTTCTCCTTTATTTATGTTTTGTTCGGCGTTTTTGTTTTGTGACCCGCAGCTCCAGTCACCCTCCTCGGCCGAGACACTCCCCGGATCTGGGCGGGACGGGACCGCCGCCGCAAAACCGGGCACATCCGTAGCCCGAGCCCCGAGGCCGGGTTGAAGGGGGGGGGGGCGGATAAAGAGACGCACGAAGGAGGCGAAGAGGCGCACACGCCGCTGCGTGCCACCCGGCCGGAGAGCGCTGATGCACCGGCACGGCGGACAGCGGCGAGAGCGGTACACGGGTCGGGGACAGGAAAACGGAACCAGGCGGTCCACGAAGCAGCGGGACGCACCGCTAATTCAAAGTGTCAGGCTCGCCAACTGCAAATCCCGGGGAAAAGCGCATCTCCTGGCAAACTGAACCAAAATAATCCGCTCCGCTAGCGAGACACAGAGACGGAGTGCAGAGATACTGACCTGCTGAATCAGGCCGCTGCTCCCTGCGGAAATGTAATCCTAGTTTCTGCCTAAACGCCTTTTCTTTGATGTTCACATACACTCGGCACTGGATGTGAATACGGCGACTGCGGCTGGCGCAGCTGTGCCCTGTTGCTCGTGCAGCGCTCAGGTCTCACTGAGAGCGAGCGGTTGCAACGGGAGGAGCCTCGCGCTCAGCTCAACCCACTCCCCCCCCTCCCTCCGCGAGTGCGCGCACACGCGCGCGCACGGCCTGCCCCCTTCCCTAAACCTCGGCGCAAGACGCTACGGCTGAGCCGGCTGGCCTTCGCGTGCGCCGCTGGCACGGACTCAGCGCAAGCGAGCTGGTGTACGCATGCGCACGCCTCGAACAAAATTAAAGGTTTTTAAAAGCAAGGGTATAGAGAGAGAGAGAGGGGAGGAATGAACAGGGGAGCACACACACAGAGAGAGAAATGCACAACCACATCCAACTGGCAGCTGTGTAAAAGCCGCGAGGTCGCTAGTAATTTGATTGGAGATAAGATGGGAGAAAAGATTAACACCTTCCAAAGCCCAAACGGCAGTTGAAAGTCTGCTGGAGTGTTTTGGAACAGATCACATCTAAACTAATTACGGGCTGAGATCCAGACGTTCAATTAGCTACATTCCCAGTTTGGATGCCCCTACTGTAATCCAATAATGATATATTTTCTGTAAACAACGCAGAATATTTGCCCTACATCACACCAGCAGAGAAGCTTCAGGGGTACCAGGCTCTTCTACGTAAGGCCTTGCGGGGCCACGCTCACAGTTAAGACCACTGGAAGTATTTAACTGATGCCAACCTGCCTTTCCAGGCCCATCAGCCACAGCAATAAAAACATCCAAGAGAAGGAACTCCCTGGCATTCCTGAGCTGGGTGCCAAAGGGGAGCCCTGAAGACTTTCCCAGAGCCTGAGGTCTGCTGCTTCACATGGTGCCCGGCCAGAGTGCGCCACCTGGAGGGGGAACAGCTGCCGGGTTGTGCCCAGAGAAAGCGTTTTCTCAACTCCTGCAGCCAGTGCTTACAGGTCCGGCGAGTTCACACTCTTTGAAGCACTTTCTTTTTCTACAAAGGGCACAACCACACTGGGCTCCTATCCTGCTGCGCACCTGCAGCCTGACAGGCGTGTTTCTAGAGCCAACCCGAGACCCCACTCGGCCCCAGAACCTCCCACAGCAGTGAGCCAGGACCCCCACCCCGTTCAGCCCCGGGTCCGGTGCGCCCGGCTGCCAGACCCCCGCAGGGCAGGGAGTGGGAGTGAACCCCACAGTCTCCTCACGTGCAGCCGCCCGCTTGCCGAGGCAGCAGGAGCACAGGAGCCCTACGCCCGCGGCGCGTATTTCAGCCTCCTGCTCCTGGCTCAGAGGGCCAGGCCTCCATGCCAGTGCTCCCTTTCTTGTCTCGGTCTTATGCCGAGGCAGTGCCGGTCTTGCGGCTCTACGAGAAGACCCTGCTGTGTCTTCATCAGCTCTCGCCCGCGAACGGGAAACCTAGTGGACGACGTCTCCGGTTCCCCTTTTCCGATGCCGACGAGCACAGTTAAAACCTGCTGCCCGCTCTCCGTGTTACAGGATCCCAACCCTTTCCTGCTGTGGGCGCAGCTCTCGGGGCCAGCGGGGTGTCTCACTTGCAGCCTCCCACTTGTACAACGCATGCTGTCCCCCGGGGGTTAGACTTGCAGGCTTCATGCTGCAACAATGAAACTGGAGCCCTCGCCATTCACAGCCAGTCCAGATCCGGCCTGGTGTTTTCTTTGCTTTTTTAGCGTGCAAATTGAAACAGACGGTGATCAGCACTACGTCGCTGTTAATTAAAGTGAATGTTGGACAGAGACCACTCCTCCATGGTCCTTCAGTACAGCCCCGAGGCCCAGTACCATTATTCTGGGCTCTGGCTCCACCTTGTGGTGAAGTGAGGATACTGATTAGGGTAGGCGCACACTACTTGTACTTACTGCCATAGAGTATTTTTTAAATCAAACTTCATTCTAAAACACACAGATAATCAGAAGTCTGGGCTGATTTTGCTATGCGGTTTGTTCACTGCTGCTGTATGTATAATCACAGAAGGGTTACCTGCCATCAGTAACTTTACAAACAGTAAATAAAATGTCTGAGTTCATGGACAGGATAAAAACATGACATGTGACAAACATTGGTGTAGCAAAATCAAAATCAAGGCACCGCAGCTGGCCAATCTAAACACTTTATTTGGATTCTGGACGCGACACGCAGAAGAAACTCTCCACCTTGTGTTTTAATGTTTCGTAGGCTCAGTAGACATCCCCTCTGGGCCCCCCTACAATGAGAGATCGCAGTAGGTGCCCTCAGGCTGCCGGTATGTCAGGGAAAACAATCTGGCAGGGCTGCCCACGCTGGGTTTTAACCACGCACCGCCACCACAGGGACACACACCCGGGCGGCGGATGACAGTGCCACACCGCGCGTGGCCTCAGGAGAGAGGGGGCGCTCTCGTGCTGAAGAGGAGAGAAGCAGCAGCAGCTGCGCAGTTCTGTTCAGAGATGCCGCTGTCCTGGTCTGTGTGCCTCTGCCTGGCAGAGCCCCCGGCGGACTGCAGGAGGAGCTTGGGGGCACTGTTCCCCCCCACCCCCAGCAGCACCCACACAGGCGCTCTCCTGACTCTGGTTCTGAAGGAGCTCCGGGCTCGTCTGCACCCCGGCTGGACTTACACAGGCCTGAGCACACTGTCTGAAGGGCAGCGGCACAAAGGCCGAGAGGGCGTAGTGAAGGGTCAAGGGTGTCAGAGAGAGCCCCCCCCAGTCTCCCGGGAGACGCCCTCACTCCCCGAAGGTCAGCTGCGCCTCCTTCTGCTGGCTGTGCAGCTCCTTGGCGCGGTTCTTCAGCTCCTCCGCCCGGGCCTGGTCTTTGGGCACCCCCTCGCCCAGCTTGAACATGCGGCTGGCGTTGGCGCAGCCCCAGACGTGGCCCAGCTGGCAGGCCTGCAGGGCGAACTGCAGCGCCCGGCCCATGTCGCTCGCCAGCCCCGGCGCCCCCGTGATGTACAGCACGCTCAGGTTGAAGCAGCTGGCCGCCAGGCCCTCCCCGCACGCCCGCTCGTAGTAGTTCCGCGCCGCCCCGGCGTCCGGGCCGGCCTCCAGCGCGCGGCCGTCGTGAGCCAGCAGGCCCACGCTGTGACAGGCCTCGGCCCGCTTCTTGCCTCCCTTCTCGCAGGAGCGCAGGAAGCAGGAGTACGCCGAGCGCAGGCACGCGGGGACCCCACCTGGAGAGCGCGGGAGAACAGGCACCCGGGAGAGAGGGAAGAGAGGGAAGCAGACAAGGGCTGAGAGGGAGACGGTGTGTACATGTGTGCACGCAGGTACGACAGCCATACCACCCTGCAACTCACAACCGGCAGCCCACTGAAGCTCAGCAGTGTGAGCCTGGCCAGTACCTGTAGATGGGAGACCTCCTGGGAAAAACTAAGGTTGCTGCTGGAAGAGGTGTTAGTGGGTCCAGCAGGGGGCGCTCACCCTGCGGTCTGTGTGGGTCCTAATGCTCCAGTATGGCGACAGGGACACTGCGCTGTAAACAGGCGCCGTCCTTCGGATGAGATGTCAAACCGAGGTCCTGACTCTCCGTGGTCATTAAAAATCCCAGGGTGTTTCTTGAAAACAGTAGGGGTCTAACCTGGGTGTCCTGGCCAAATTTCCCATTGGCCCTGACCAATCATGGCCTCCTAATAATCCCCATCTGTGAATTGGCTTCATCACTCTGTTCTCCTCCCCACTGAAAGCTGTGTGGTGGGAGTACTGTTAGCTGTCTGGCGTGCATGCGTGCATGAGGGAGCTGTACGTCAGTGCCAGGCGCTGGGGGGCGATGTCTGCCCTACCCTTGCCGGCGATGTGGTAGGTTCCCAGCTTGTAGCAGCTCTCCCCGTGGCCGTTCTGCTCACAGTTGTGTCTGAGGACCTGGGCGGCCGCCTCGTAGTTCTTCTTCACGCCGTCCAGGTAGTCCGCCAGGCGCAGGCACCCTGACGGACACACACACACACACGCAAACGGGGAAAGTCAGCAGCGGCCCCGGTGGAGCGGGCGCTCGGGGCCCTCTCGCCCCCCCGAGACCCTTCGTCTTCGCTTCGTCTCCCTCGACTGTCTGTCCCGCGGCCCTCATGGCTGCCGCTGGTTTTCGCTAAGCCATCTGCCTACTGCTGTGGCAGCTACACCACGAGCACCTGAAGCGTGCTGAAGCCTCCCTCTAAAACTCAGTTTTCTGTGTTTGTAGCCCTCATCGGCTACAACATTATTGTGTGGGGGCGTCTACACAAACTTAATAACTCTTCGTGACAAGTTCAGATATTGAGAAAATGTAAACAAAGAAATGGCTTTGTTTAAAAAAAAAAGATGGGATGGGCCTGCAGGTTTTTGTACTTTTGTACAACATCCTGAAAGTACACATAGTGGAAAGAAAGAGAACTTATGTTTTGGTAACCCTTCGAGTGAATTAACCCGATTCCAATTAGTTGTTCCTAATCTCATTTCTCGTTTGCATTAATTAATGCCTGAAAAGGCACCTCAGCCCTCGAACTATTAACACGCAAGAATTTTCTTCACTTCTTTCAGAGAGTATCTGCACCCTCTCACGCTAGCGTCCTCACTCATGCTGAGCCCCAGACATAAATACACACAAATCTTGCTTCCTGGGGCTT